TTACATAATAGGTTTATTATCGTATTTTTTTTGAGTTTTTATATAAGTTTAACAATTGCAATACTTTAAATTTATTTTCCCTAAGATTTTTCTGAAATACAGTGGCGTTCGTATTTACCCCGGTATTTTAGGAAATTTGCAAAGTATCGAGGTAAATACGAACGCTAAGTTTCCTGCGATTGTAATTTATCAAAAAATTTTGCTACCCCATAAAATTGTTCTATGGAAGTAAAGTAACAACTTCATGCACCAGAATACCGGAAGTATTTTTTTTTTTAAAGAAAAAACTTATGTTATTGTTGAAACTTACTAAAAGCGTTCGGATTTACCCCGGTTGACCCTACTCTAGCAGGTAAAAAATTTGTTCCATCGTTTATTTAATCATACTTTTCTTTCATTGATTAGCTTTTTAGTGTAGAAGGGAAAAAAAATTATAAAAGAAAGACAAGTAGAGAAGATTGGTCATCAGAAAGCATGAAAAATGCGGTAAGCGAAAAATGGGTTTCAACTTAGCAGCAAAAATATTTACTGCCCCCAAACCACTTTGGAAAGAAAACTGAAGATGCAAACTCTACTAGCGAAGATTACAAGCAATGTTATCAACAACATTTTGTGTCTACAGACAGACATATACATACATATAAAAACTTTTGAAAGACCACGAGCTTTAGCTGGGGGTCTCTGGGGTTATTGTGTCAACAACATTTTGTGTCTATACTCTGTTCCAGGAGAGATCGATATTTTTCTGCGCATCTTGTTGTAAAAGGGTGTATTTTTAAGTGAAAAAGGCGTTTTCTAGATTTTTTTTCTGAAAAACATAGCCAATGATATGAAAAGGATTGTAACATGTGTTGCTTTTCCTATAACTAAAATCAAGCAAACATATTTAAAATTTTTGTGACCTGCGAGCCTGGTCTCCAAAAGGCAGTCGGAAGGGTCTTTTATGGTTTTATGGCTTTTCATTGCAAAATTAAAAATTGTTGGAATTTAAAAAAATAATTATATAAATATTATATTTGGAATGTACAGGTTAAAACAATTACAACGGTATAAAATGTTTTGCAAATACTATAAGATAAGAGTTTGTACATATGTAAATCATGAAATTATATAACTTTTCCAAAAGCAAATTTGAATATTTAGACGTAAAAATGATTGGGGTACAAAAGTTCCAAAAAATAAGTTCCAACCCAAAAGTACCAATAGATAAGTTCCAAGAATAGTTTGTTCCAAAAGTACATAAGTTCCAAAAAGTAAGTTCCAAGAGAAAAGTTACAACAGAAAATTTAATAAAAGTTCCAAAAAGTGTAAAAATATTTAAAAATGTAAATTGTGACCAATCGCTCTTAAGTAATCAACAATTTCATCGGTTTGGATGCGTTGTTGATAATTTGAGACTATATTGAAAATTCTATCTTCTATATGTTGTTGACGATCTGTGCGGTTTTTCTTAATTTTTTGCCCGAGACTAAGTTGCCGCAACATGCGTCGCCATCGCTAACAGTAATTGCTCGAGCATCACACGTTTTTCTATTTTTGCATCTCCAATACATGCCATTTCAATAAATCTATTTCTTTACTTCAAATTTTTAATTTAATTTAAACTATACTATATTTTACCAAGAGATGTTATTTACTTTAAATCTGACACTAAAATGTGCCTGTAAAAACAACTGAATGATGCCAATTAGATTAGCTGAGTATCGGTTTGCACTATTATTATTATTTTTTTTTTTTTTTTGAACAATTTTGGAACTTTTAATACTTTGGGAAAAAGAACTTTTTGGAACTTTTGGGCTTGGAACTTTTGACTCCCTACCGTAAAAATTTATATCGTTGGAATCGTCAAAATCTGCAAATGGTAAATTTAATATTTAAAAAATTATTTTTTAGATTTAAATATTTTTTATTTTGCACCAAAATGCCATAAAATCTAAACGACCCTAAAATGGATAAAAAAAATTTAGTTGTCAATACACATGTTTCTTCAAATTTAAAAGAAATTGAAAGAGAAAGCTTATTTGCTGAAACGGAAAAAAATATACGCCTCCTTTTATAGTTTTCTGCGCGTAAAGGGCCCAAATTCGTCCTGAAAAATATCGATCTCTCCTGGAACAGAGTATACGGACCATGATTTTTCTATTCAGGGCACCTCCAAACGAGAAGATTTCAAGGAAATAGAAAAAGTCAATTTTCGACCAATTATTATAATACCTTCTCATGTGATGAGAACGTAAATATAAATGCTTTTTCATTAAAATCTCAAAAACGTGAAGATATAGAGAAAAATGTTCAATGGCAAAGTTGTAGCTGATAAAATTTTGAAGAAAAAAGGTTTTGGGGTCATTATGCCAAGAAGAATATATTTCGAGTTAATTGAGTAAGAAAGTCTGATTATTGTGTAAAAAAATATAAATAATATGTATATACCGTAGTTTTTTGCCAAATTGCTTTTTTTTCACTTGTATCATATTTTCTGAGTACATTGTGATGAGAATGTAACAATTTTATGGACTGATTTTTATCCACCCCCTTAAGAAAATTTAATTTTTAATTAAAAAAATCTTTTTTTTTTGTGTTTTTTGATGTTTTTCGACATTTAGGCCACTGTGACTTTTACAATTTTATTTTAATCAAAAAATTTTACATACAAAAGTTGTTTGCTTTCTTCTGGACTATAAAGCTGTGTAGTGAAAAAAATTTTTTTTTTTTAATTTAAATTTTGAAATTTTGAAAATGCTGCAGTTTTTGCATTTTTTGATAAAAATGGCTGGCTAACGAACTTGACCAGGGTGGCCACTATTTTTAGAATTTACGAACTTCAACATAATTTATAGTAATTATACAAAATCTTTACTGAAATTTAATATATTTTATATAATTTTTTCCAGTTTGACACGTTTTCCTTAAATTGAAAAATATTTACGAAATTTTGTTATATATTTTCTTTCGGTAAGGAATTAAAAAATTTTGTATTGTGAGAAATAAAAATAGCTAATTTTTGTTGATGGTATATGAGCAATTCTACGTGAGATTGAGGGGCTATCCTCTGATTCCTTCTATACTACGTTTTTGGGTAGAGGTTATGGGTCTAATTGAGTAAAAAAAAATTTGAAAAAAATATTTATTATTTTTCGAGATATTTGCATTAGAAAATTAGTGCAACTTTTGTTTCAATTACTCATAAATCTTTCACTTTTAGTCCTAGAACAAAATTTCCTAAACGTTTTTTGCTCAGAAAATATTAAAGTTTAAGAAAAAAAATTAAAATTTTTTAATTTATTTATTCATTTAAAAAATAAAATTTATTTTTAATTTTTAAACTTATTATCGGGCTCCGCTTACTTAGCGGGGGTTTCCTACCTTCTCGGCACGGTATTTTTCAGTCTTTCTGTAAATAACATTTTATAATTAATTTTCGATTTTTAGTAATACTTAATTAATATTCTTTTTTTGACACAGAATTAGATTAGACGTAGTACAGAAGGAATCGGAGGATAGACCCTTCAATCTGACGTGGAATTGCTCATATATTTTATATAATTAACACGAAATTTTAGATGGTTAAAAGTTGAACAATTTTTGAATAATTGCGCGAGTCACAAAACCCATAAAAACTCCCGGATTAATTTTTCAGTCCCGGCTTTCTCCCGGTTGGCTGGCCACCCTGTTGACCTGTATTTTGATATTAACTTTGTGTGTTTGCAAAACAAAAGTTATTGTGTCAACAATATTTTGTGTCTACGGACATACACTTTCGCCGGACCATGATTTTTCGATTCAGGGTACCTCAAAACGTGAAGATTTCATGGAAATAGAAAAAGTCAATTTTCGACCAATTATAATACCTTCCCATGTGATGAGAATGTAAAAATCAAGACTAATTTTTGTAAAATATAAAATATATTTCAAAAATCGAATTTTTCGAATAAAGAATTAAAATTTTAAACTTTTTCGATTTTTCTGATAGAGGCAAAAAAATACATAGATCGTTTTTGTATTTCATTTCAATTATATTCTTTTAAAAAAAATTTCAATGTGGATTTGTTTTCGGCCGTAAATTGTAACATACATAATTAACAAATTCTAAATGATTAAATTCTATTAACATGAATGCTTCCTAAACAAAACTGACATTTGAATTCTTAGTCAGTTTTATAACGAAATTATTAAATTTTATTAACATTTGACATGCTTGTTAATGTGTTTAAATTATAAATTATATTAATTAAAAATGTATAATTATTCGCATTATTATAAAAAATTTTAACTCATTTAACACAAGAAAAAATCAAAAGGATGTTTTTTTAATTATACATTTTTTTCAATTAAAATTTTTGTAGACCGAAACCCGAACTCTGCCAATAATCTTGTTTTTGTAATTTTATTTTTTATACTTCAATTTTGTATGTTACTTTATATTACCTTTTTTAATTGTTTATAAGCTTTCTTTTTTAAGTTTGCGACAAAGAAAATTGAAAAACTTAGTAATAGTACACAATAGAGAAAATAAAAAAATCTCCAATTAAAATTTTCCTATTTGGAAAGGAACAAAAAATCACAAGAAAATTATTAAATGCGATATAAGATTATTAACATGCATATAAGACAAATATTTGCAGAAATCTGCTAAGGAAAATATATGACAGGGAAAGTCAGAAGGTACCTACGATCCGAAAATATAATTTCATGTAAAACGACTTTGAAATTAACAAGTGGATTTTTTTGTACGTGTTTTTGTCAGTGTGTCTATCTTTGAAGTGTGAAAAAATACTGCAGCTAGAAAGCTGCGGTTTGTTGCATTGAAAAGGGGTTATAATCTACTTAAAGAACTGCTAAAATTGGATTTTTTCGACGCGTAGGTCCTTTTTAACATTCCCTGTTACATATATGAAAAATTCGTAATATAGTGTATATCAAAAAATTATAAAATATTCTACTATAAAATCTTAAATTTTAATATATTTTTTAAGAATTCTTAGAAAAGTATTTATACTAACCTCATTCAGATGTTTTCCATCCATTATTAAACAATTAACTTGTAGACAGTCAATATATTACTTTAGGCAATCAATTTTTCAGCCTTAAACAAAAAATAACCTTCAATTTTCCGAATTCAGGAAAATTCATTAGTAAAAATGTTTTAACAATATATGAACAGTAAATCTATTTCTGACATTTTAAACAAGTTTTTAAGTGTGCTCAATTTGTGTAATCAAAAGGGCAACGCAATATAGCTTCAGGAACGTGGTTCATGAGATAGAAAAGGACACAAATATATTTTTGTATTTTTCTAAGGGCACTACGCACAATAGTTTCGCGAAAGGCGTTCCCGAAGGAGATGTATGCATTAGAAAAGGACAGAGATATATTAAGCTCTGTCACTAGTGACGTCAAAGTCGATTCTAGGCACTGAACTCTATATATCTGGAATGCTGTCTGCCATTGGGTGTTTTCGGGAGTTGCTGACAGTAAAAAATTACCCAATCAGAATAAACATGCTGATGGATCCGCCAATCACAACATACTCACAGCAACTCCCGAAAACACACATTGATGGAGCATTTACACCTTTGGTAAAAAAAATTTTTTATTTTGATTTTCGGAAATGCAATGATCTGATTGGTTGTCCACTATCAATCAGATTGTGAACAACCAATCAGGTTTGTGTATTTCGGAAAATTCAAAAATAAAAAATTTTTTTACCAAAGGTGTAAATGCTCCGTGAAAGTCGCGAGCCGAGAGAGAGGTCTGATTCCTGTATTCCCCTCTTTGCCGGTACAGGTCCAATAGAAAATATTTAACAGTATGTATACATGAACATGCACTGAACTCTATATACCTGGCAGTGATGGGTACGTATAATACATGACGTATAATACGTGGTTTTCTACGTGTATAATACTACGTATATTACGTGCCAAGTTTTCTACACGATGTATATTACATTTGATCACGTGATTTAAGAGCGGCAATTTTAAATTCTTTATTAAAATACATCATTCATTACACTTTCCCAGGGCAAACCCTCTTTAAAAGATTTTCTTTTACTTTTTCTGACCATTTCTATTTTATTTTAAGACTTTAATTTAAATAGAATGATAAGAAAAATTCGTTATGGCAAAAATCAGAGGATCATATATAGATGTCAAAATGTCAGTGGTTATCTACATGGTTTTATACATTTTATACGTACATTACGCCGAAAACGTATTATACGTACAAAACTTCGTGTGACGCGTCACAACCCATCACTGATACCTGGAATTACGAAGCATTTACACCTTTGGTAAAAAAATTTGTTATTTTTGAATTTTCCGAAATACACAAACCTGATTGGTTGTTCACAATCTGATTGATAATGGACAACCAATCAGATCTTTGCATTTCCGAAAATCAAAATAAAAAATTTTTGTTACCAAAGGTGTAAATGCTCCATTAGGCTGTGACAGTTCATCGAGATATTTCGAGTTTAAGATATGACGTCAGAGGCCTGGAGGTACAACAAACAGACGACACAATGTTATGTTATTCTTATGGGGAAGAAAATTTGTTTCCACAATCATCAATTTTATTCATATTTTAAACATGGAAAACGCTTGTTGACATATAATAAAATGAAAATGTGTGTTGATAATTAATTTTGTTATATATTTGATTCAATTGCATTAATAGATTCTCTGAATTCGTGATGAAATATAAATTTTGAGGTTATGGGAGGTTGTTTACTAATCACATTTTACATTTTAACAACATTATTAAACAATATCCAGTATGCATGTTATTAAAAAAGATATAAAATATATATTTTAAGTGGAAATTACCGCAGCAGTAAAAGATTTCAAGTTAGTAAACAAACACCTCTAACCTCAAAATTTATATTTTATCACGAATTCATATAGAATCTATCAATGCAATTGAATCAAATTTATAACAAAATTAATTATAAACACACAGGCCTCTGATGTCACACCTAGATTAGACTCTGACGTCACAAGTGACAGAGCCTAATGCTGTCTGCCATTGAAAGTCGCGAACCGAGAGAGAGGTCTGATTTTTGTATCCCCCTCTTTGTCGGTATAGGTCCGTTAGAAAATATTTAACAGTATACGTGAACATGACATAACACAGTTAACAGTAAACTTTTGGAACGTATTGTACTACGCCGGCGCAGTTTAGTAAGAGAAGGAGAGGGATACCGGAATCAGACCTCTCTCTCGGTTCACGATTATCAATGGCAGACAGCAGATATATATAGAGTTTAGTGATTCTAGGTGTGACGTTAGATTGCTGGAGGGCCGTTTCCGAATTGGGATTTTTCGCGCACTTCTGATAAAGGGTTTACTCGAGAAGGAAACTGCATACTTCCCGAGTATACACTTTATCAAAAGTGGGCTAAAAATCCCAATTCGGAAACGGCCGAAGGAAAACTGTAACGTGCCAGCCTTGTAATGGTACGGTCACACTATCTCATGCATGCATGAGTTTTCCTACTTTACAATTTTTAATGCACATGTTTCTCGACGGTTTTAATAATTTTAATTGAATTAAAGAAAAATTAATCAACAAAATATTTATAATTAAAAAATTCAGTGTCTTAAAATCATAAACCAAATTTTCTTTTCGCGATTGGCATCAATGCTATGATGACGTCACTGCGCTTGCCAATCAAAGCGTTACTCACGCAGCGCAAACATTTATGAACATATATACGGCAGCTTCTATTAGGCTCTGTCACTTGTGACGTCAGAGTCGATTCTAGGTGTGACGTCAGAGGCCTGGAGGGACAACAAACAGACGACACAATGTTATTCTTATGGGGAAATTAAATTTGTCGATTTGTGTTTAGTTTGTCTTTTGACGTCTTAACTTCAGGCTGACAATTTTATAGTTTATTTTTTTTCGGTAAATTTTAAATACTGTACATTTTCTTAATTTTATATTGTTTTTACATTGTGTTGACTTATATTTTTATATTTTATTAATACATTTTTAGTTTCTGATGAGGACAGCAGTGCTGTCGAAACGTAAAAAATAATTTCTTTTATTTTACTGACTACTTGACTTGGATTAATTGTTAAATTTTTTTCCTTACAATTTTATTCATACTTTAAACATAGAAAACGCTTGTTGACATATAATAAAATTACAATGTGTGTTGATAATTAATTTTGTTGTATATTTGATTCAATTGCATTTATAGATTCTCTCAATTCGTGATAAAATATAAATTTTAAGTTTAGGGGTGTTTACGTTTACTAACATGAAATCTTTTACTGCTGCGGTAATTCCCACTTTATATTTTATCACGAACTGAGAGAATCTATCAATGCAATTGAATCAAATATATAACAAAATTAATTATCAACACACATTTTCATTTTATTATATGTCAACAAGCGTTTTCCATGTTTAAAATATGAATAAAATTGATGATTGTGGAAACAAATTTTTTTCCCCATAAAGGCGCATTCGGACCTCTCGGCTGCCTGCCTGCTGTAGTTACCATGGTAACATGATAAGAGTGAGTGAAGCAGAAAATTTAAATTTTTCGTCTGTTTCACTCACTCCCATTATGTTACCATCAGTGATGGGTACGTATAATACATGACGTATAATACGTGGTTTTCTACATGTATAATACTACGTATATTACGTGCCAAGTTTTCTACACGATGTATATTACATTTGATCACGTGATTTAAGAGCGGCAATTTTAAATTCTTCATTAAAATACATCATTCATTACTTTACACTATTGAAAGAGAAAGTTGTTAATATAAACAAAATTTAGGTAATTATTAATTATTTTAACAATTATAAAACAAAATTTTTAATTATTGAAATGTTTTTATATCGGTTTTATTTCTAAGTTGGTTTCACAGATAAGAGTGAACACCGGGCCACGTGCATAATAACATAACCTATATTCTAAGTATTATATTGTCAGTCTAGTCGTTTGGTATCTCCAAAAATAAACAATTTTTAAATAAAAACTTTATAAACAATAACAAACAATAATAATACGCTTATAGCCAGTGTTTTTCATAATGTTTTGACAAATTAAACATTTAGCAACATTTTTATCAGTGCCTAGCTCTTTCATCCGCTCAAATTCCATTTTTTCCCAGGGCAAACCCTCTTTAAAAGATTTTCTTTTACTTTTTCTGACCATTTCTATTTTATTTTAAGACTTTAATTTAAATAGAATGATAAGAAAAATTCGTTATGGCAAAAATCAGAGGATCATATATAGATGTCAAAATGTCAGTGGTTATCTACATGGTTTTATACATTTTATACACGTATATTACGTTGAAAACGTATTATACGTACAAAACTTCGTGTGACGCGTCACAACCCATCAGTGGTTACCATGGCAACTGCAGCAGGCAGGCAGGCAGCCGAGAGGTCTGAATGCGCCTTAAGAATAACATTATGTCGTCTGTTTTTTGTACCACCAGGCTTCTGACGTCATATCTTGAACTCGAAATATCTCGATGAAATGAAATCAAATGTAACAAAACAGTTTAATAAAAATTAATTTATTAGCATAAATAGATTTTTATAGGTACTGGTTAACATTATCGATAGAATGTTATTTACAGTGATTAAATATAATAAGTGCAAAAATGTTTACGTTTATCCAATTTGTTTAAGTCTTAAAATTTTAATTCGTTTCTACATAAATTACAAGTTAAAAATCAGATAATAATTTCATTTCTTTATACTTAAATGTTGTTAAATATACATATATTGTTGTTATTTAAAACTTGATAAATTTTGTTTATTTTATTTAACGTATTAAAAGTCAACTTTATCTTGAAACCTTTTTATCAGTAACATATTTCTCTATTTTTAAATATTTTCTTTGTAAATAATTTATATCAGCAAATATATGTATATAATATGACAGAAAAAATATATAATATTTGCAGAAATAATTTTTTATTTTGTTTTTAACAAAACGATCATATATTAACCTGCTAATAAAACATTAGGGTGGCGTATAGGCGCTTCCGTACTTTAGGTTGGCGTATATGGGTACTTCCTTACCGCATTGATGCTCTCTAGGCCGTTTCCGAATTGGGAAAGTTTGGCTTCTAGAATAGAGCCAATCGCAGACGCGACGCAATTGGGATCGGCTAAACTGCAATACGCCATCTGGTGGGGACCCATTCTCTCCATCCATTTTCTTTCTTAGTCTCTCTTCAATTAATAGGTTAGAAAGAGTAGAAAAAACAAAATGGAGGGAGAGAATGGGTCAAAGTTACTAGATTGTTACTAGACCACCGTTCCCAATCCCATTTGCTTAGCATTGCAACGCGTCACGTCTGCGTTTTCGTCTCCATTCTAGGGCTGGTTCCACAATGGGCTCGATACGGAAGCCTGTACGGCTCACGAGCGTCTCGGACGCAAGTGGCGGTGTTTCGTACCACAAGTGGTTAGTTCGTGCCACTTGTTGGACGACTCCGTGCCACTTGTGGAAAGTGGATTTTTTGAAGGGTCATTCTCAAATATGACAATTCCGTTGGATCCTGTTGCTATCTATTTCGTCAGTGCTTTTCATTTCAATTTCATGTGAAGAAGAAGAAATGAATTTTATAAGATATTAGTAATATTAAGGCACTTGTATACCTCACCAATCACGAGAATAGTTATGTCGTATACCAATGGAGTAAAAGAGACAAAAGATATTTCTGTCCCTTTTACTCCAACGGTACACGACGCAAGTATACTCGAGATCGATGAGGTATACGAGCGCCTTTAGCATATGAGTAAATGTCATCGAACAAACTTTTTATAGTTCACACATAAATACTCCTTCCAAACGTAAATAATATACATATTAATAAACTATGGATTCCACTAAGAATTAAGCGGAAGTTTTTTTAATTTTTCTTAGTTTAGAATAAAAATAAGATTTTTTGGTTATGTTGTCATTTTTTAATTTAAAATACATGAAGAGGATTTTATTTTTTAAAATCAAAAGTATATTTTTATGAATATTTAAGATTAATAAAGATGTCAATATCATTTGTTTACACTGAAATTTAATCTTTTACATATATTTTCAATTAAAAAATAACAAATTCATTTTTATTCAAAAACATTAAACGGACTTGCCCGGATGAAATTATACTTGAAATGAAAAGCACTGACGAAATAGACGGCAACATAATACAACGGAATTGTCATATTTGTGAATGACCCTTCAAGAAATCCACTTTCCACAAGTGGCACGGAGTCGTCCAACAAGTGGCACGAACTAACGAACTTGCCACAAGTTGGACGGACTTCGTGCCACTTGTGGTACGAAACACCGCCACTTGCGTCCGAGACGCTCGTGAGCCGTACATACGGAAGCGCCTACAAGTCACCAGCGAACTATCTTGTTCGCGTCACATTTTTAGCTGTGAAACCGAGGAACGCGTTCGATGGTTTCGCTGTTTCCTTGTTTTTGAGTGACGATAAAACACACTGTACGATTCGATAGTTCGATGGTTCTCTGGTTTTACTTAGTTCTATCGTTATCGAAGTCTAAATTTTGTATTAAAAAAATAAATTTAAATTTAAAAACCGAAATATAATAATATATTTAAATTATATATTTGAGATATATCAGATATCTTATAATGTGTGCCTAAAAAATTATTTATTTAAAAATAATAGTACAAAATATTAATAGTATAGTACAAATATAAAATGCAAACAAATCAACTTACTTCAAAATAATATTTTGTACTATTATTTTTAAATAAAATAATTTTTTAGGCACACATTATAAGATATCTGATATATCTCAAATATATAATTTAAATATATTATTATATTTCGGTTTTTAAATTTAAATTTATTTTTTTAATACAAAATTTAGACTTCGATAACGATAGAACTAAGTAAAACCAGAGAACCATCGAACTATCGAACCGTATAGTGTGTTTTATCGTCACTCAAAAACAAGGAAACAGCGAAACCATCGAACGCGTTCCTCGGTTTCACAGCTAAAAATGTGACGCGAACAAGATAGTTCGCTGGTGACTCGTAGGCGCTTCCGTACGTACAGGCTTCCGTATAATATAAAGTTCAGTGGCTTGTAACACGCAGGAATATGAAACTATATAATAGTCCGTCTACAATCTCGCTGACACAAAACTGAATGATCAGGAATATGATTTTGTAGATGGAGCAGTGTAGGAACAACCAACGGTTGGTTTAAAGGTGTTTTCACAACTCAATTAGTATAAACATTTTAAATAGTTCACTTATTAAGAATGTTAATTGTTTATACCAATTCTTTAACTTCACTATAGTTTTATTGATTGAGTCCGAATCTCATTAAAATCCTAAAGGATTAACTTGTTGAGAGGAATTAAATATAAAAACAAAACACAATTAAATTTCATATAAAATCACTAATTGTTTTATTCAGTAATTAACTGAATCTGAGTTCTATTAAATTAAATCTTTCTAAGATTCTCTCAAGACATTTCACTACGCAATATTAACTTTAGAATATTATTTGCTACGAAAACCGTGAATTATCAAGAATCTTCTTCTACTTCGTCTTCTACTCTCTCTCACTCTCTTCTCTGAATTCTGCTCTCGGTCCTCATTCTTTTATAGGAGTATTCCTACTCTTTTCCCGATCTTGGGTCTATGATCCCAGCCAATCCTGTTTCAGAAAAATGATTCACTCGAAATAATGCCACCAATGAGAGTCAAGTTCTTGGTTTTGATCTGTCCTATTTTTCTCCTCTATTTTGATCTTAGATGCAGGTGTGCTTGCAGGTGTCCATAAAACGCAGTTTTTGTACTAAAATACGCATTATGAGTCACGGTCTTGTTTGCGTATTTTAAAGAGTGTCCTTGACATTTACAAACGGTCATTTACGGCATGAGTCATACATAACCTTCTACCTCTGACCTTGGAATATGCAGGTGTTCTTGAGATGACTCATCTAGCCAAAGTAATTCCTTAAATCTAACAGTAGTTTTTGACCTTGTATTTATTGATCGTAAAAAGAAAGAATTTCATTTTGACAAATTTTAACCCTTCTATCAAAGTTTGATCAAATAATAATTAATTATTTACAAATTAAAAATGTTTAAAAGGAAGAACTCAGATTCATTGTAAAAGGACCTTAATTACATTATTTCTTATGTCCTTTTAACGTCTGCAGCCGATTTGTAAATAGGTACTCGCATTCGCCTGAACAACCTTTCAGAGGATAGGGGAAACTGCAGAAAACCCTTCCAAAGTACCTCTTAAATCTTATCATTTCCTTATCATTATTTTTATCTCTCTCTCTCTTTCTCATGTCTCTTAATATATATACATATATATATATATACACACAGATACACACATATACACATACTCATTTTATCGAATTTCATACTAACTCACATATATACATATACACAAACATATCCATAAACATATTCTTATATATATACTATACATATTGGGATCTGAAATCATAGGGAATTATGGGGAAACTGACCTCGTTGCGTCAGCCATCTTGATTTTTTATCTCTTTCTTCTACATATATTTTAAAAAAGATGAAACGAAAAATGGCTGACACAACGAGGTCGTCACCAGATGGCGTATCGCAGTATTTCAGATCGCAATATACTTTTATTCTTAGGCTGCAGTCCCATGGCAGCGTTTTGTGTTGCGTTTTGTCACTAGACCCTGAGTGTAAACATAGCAAACATATATCTGCATCTCTTTTACACTCATGGTCTAGTGACAAAACGCAACGCAAAACGCTACCATGGGACTGCAGCCTTATCTAGTCAATTCGCTTTTCCTTCCCTTTTCTCTCTCTCTCTTTTTCTCTCAATTGGGAACTAATAACTATGTTTTAGTGCTTAAATAAATAAAATGAAATATTATTATAATTATTTATTAAGATAATATACGTCAAGTTACCCAACCCTGGTGGTTGGTAACAGCACAGCGTTACAGGCTCAGGTGTTGTGCGTTGCCCTTTACATTCTTAATCCAGTTTGAAAGTATTGTGCTCAGGCCTTTAAGATTGTGTTTTTGTCGTTACTGTTAAAGTTTATTTGAATTAAAGCTCATACTTTATATGAAGCAATAATAAGAAATAATAAGTTTCAGTACTATAATATACATTATATTTGTGTAAGTATCTTTTAGGAATATTAAAACAAATGTAGTAAATGCTATGACATTTTACAAAAGTTATAATCAAACCCTTATAGCCAAGTTTTTAGTTATATTTTTAGAAAAGGTATGCAGAGTTTGAATTGTACCTTAAAAATTGAATCGTAGGGTTTAAAATTATAATTCTTTAATATTGCAGTATGTTTAATAGGAATCTTTCTTTACATATTAAAATATTTTACCTAATATTATGAACATTAAACTATTCTCATTTGCGTTAAATGGTCTTCCTCATGTAGAGAGGGTAAAACAACGGCATTTTTCTTGAATTTTTTCAAGCCTTTTATTCAACTTAAAAACAATCTTTTACATATTATTATATGTATCTCAAACTGTATATGTGCATTTGTTGTTTCTTTTGTTCTTTGACTGTGCTTGCATACGGCTGTTGTGAATATCGCCTGTCGTTTTTTAAGATGAAATATTGCCGGCATGATATCTCGGGTTCTATAACAGGTAAGGGGTCATTCATTAATTACGTAAGGGTCCTTAGGGTTAGGGGGGTTTAAAAAATCTACATGGTTTTAAGTACCTCGCGAGGTAGAAGCCAAGTATTTTCCATTTGTATTGTAATTAATTTTCTTAATTACATTAACCCATTAAGGCTCATAGATTATATAGCATTTCTATAACCTCAAAAATAACTATTGGGTTCATAGCATAACCGTAAAAAAAGTTATCTCTATTTTTTCTTTTTGCAAAATAATTTATTTATCTAATTTGTTGAAACAATTTAATAAAAATAAATCGATTTTTTAAAAACCAATACCGCCATTTGAAAGTAATTATTTATTGCAAAAAGGTATGGACGAATAAAAAAGTTGTAAAGAGAAAAGTTGGTAATTTTTTCACGTACTTTGGAATGGAGGTATTGGATTTTTTAAAATCGAATTTTTTTACTAAATTGTTTAAACGAATTACAGTAGAAATTTGACCAAAATATCAGCACTACGTAAATTGTTGGATTCTCTAAGGGTATTCCCACAACCGACGCACTCAACTCTCTTATAATTTTGACTTTGATTAAATGAACTATAATTTAAGAGATTAGAACATATTTTTATTTGAGAAGATTTTGGTTCAGCGATTTTTTAAATCTACGATCATAAGACTTTTAAAATCCAAAGAAAATTTCAAGTGTTTTAACTGTTGGGTTAAATTATTTCAGGCTCACCATGCCTAAATATACGTGTCAATTTTTCATGTTTGATGTTCGACTTTTTTGATACAAGTTACTATTTATTTGATACGATAAAATAACCCACACAGCTGGCGTTTACGGAATTGCGCTCCGGGAGCTCTTGGAGCGAAAAGGGGTGTTCAACTTATTTTCTTAAATGTTTAACTTTTAGAAAAAGATGGCAATATCGGGTAGAAAGAGATAAATTTAAAAGTTTGAGGTCTGCTTCTATTGGTACCGGCAACGTAATATAAATGCATGCTTTTTATATTTTGTTTATAAAAAAATTCATGTAAACATTATGAGTGTAATTGCCGTTATCACGGACCAGAAGGGTCGCCCTGTTTGTTCTAATGGAAAATATTACTGTCAAGTAAATTTGGGAGATGGTAAGTATAAATAAAAATACTAACATAACCTTCAAAATTATTATGTTTTCTTTTCTTATATTCCTACTAAATATTATTAATACTTTTTTTTATCAACAAAATATGTTTAGGTCCTGATATTTTTATTATTTTAAGTACGAATTAAAAGGAATTACTTATGTTAAAATTTGTATTATTTATTTTTAAATGTATAAGTTTAAATGATTGAAAAAGTAAAAAAAGTCAGGTTTTTAGCTAGAAGAAAATATGTTAAATGAAAACAAAGAATTATTGTTTAAAGTGTAAAAAAATAATTATTTATATTTATTTAGATTTAATAAATTTTTTATTATCACATGATTTAAGCACTTATTGATAGAAATTAATAGAGAAATTTTTTGCAGTTTAAAGTTTTAAAAATTCTTTTATTATTTCTTAACAAGAAATTATATTTTCATAATTGGGTCTTTATGTTTCAGGAAATATTATAAATAAATTTATTGATAAGTCCTTCTTGGTGACAGAAGGCGAAGGCAAAGGTATAAAAAAAATTATTGTTTATGTCTGTCATTTTACATATAGACTTTAGATATTTCAGTTAAAAGACTTTTTGAATTAAATATTTTTTCACAGGTTCAACACTGTTGAAAGAAGTGCATTACAATTTTTGATTTCTCAGTTTTGAGAAAGTTTTTAATTCATTTAAATTTTATTACATACGTTATGCTAAAAATTATATTTTTTCTTTAAAATAATTTTTGCAACATTTTTTGATCAACAATTTTTAAAATAAAAATTTGTTTAGACAAAAACTTTAATAATTTTTTGTGTCAAAAATATCTTTATTTTTCAATCGTTGATCATAAACGTTGTGAAATTCACCGACATTTTTTTACATTATTTTTTAAATTTGTAATAATGTAAAATGCATTCAAAGCAAGTTTTCTGTTCTTATTACTTTCATAGATATAGGCATATCTATGAAACTTTAAACTCTTCAATAAGAAAATAGTTATTTATGAATACAAGTGCGTATAATCAGATTTACGCTCGTGCATCATACAACATTTTTTGCAACACCCACCTCTAAAGTACTAAAGTACCTATTATGAAGAATACCAACTCTCTATCAGATAAATTTCGATTGTATAGAATTAAAAAAATCAATCTAAAATCAGGAAAAATATCATTAAACAGTAGTGTATAAATTTAAAAGTAAAGATCTTTCTATAATTTTGTGGTTTTGTATGTTCTAAAACAATCCTTATATTATGTGAGAAAAATTTCGGTGCGTAAAGTAAATTTCAGTGCGTAAAGTTAATCACTTTACACACCGTTTTAAAAAGAGCTTCTTTACACACACTTTTCGGTGTGTAAAATTTAACTTTAGAGGTTAGTGTTGCAAAAAATAAATTTTTTTGGTAGCAGTGTTGATACTATGTCCACATAAACTTCATCTACCAAATTTTACAAGTGTAGAGTAGCATCTACAGAAGTGGGCCACCGTGAAAAGTGTGCCACTAGCTATTTTTGTTATCACAATTGACATATCTGTGCAAACGCACATTTGTGTTTTCCAACAATTAGTGCTAAAAAATATATACTTTTTTCTTTTTTCCTTGAGAAAGATATCGTTATTTGCATAAGTTATTCATTGAATTTAATCGGATAAGTAGCCTTTTTTATATTAATAGACCTAACATAAAGAGTGTAAAAAGATTTTAGCATATTATCGCGTGGTATTCTTGCCACGTTATTTCGCGTAAAATTATGCTTGTGGACAGAAGTGAACCACTGCATTGACGTACTGTTTCGACAAATAGTGTTTTTGTATAAACTAATTGTGAGGAAGTGGTTTTTTAAATTAATTTCAATGTTTTAGTGATTATGCTACCAAAAAAAGATAAACGGACTGGCTATGAGTCCATCAACTTCGATAAATTGCTTAGTGCTGTAAAACAACTAAAAATCAAGAAAATTTCGGAACGCGCTGATTGTGTTACTGCCGGTATAAGCCGATCAAGTTTTCAACTGCCATTTATTGGAAAATTTAATCATTTAACATAAGGATCATAATTCTTGATACTTTTACTTATTTTAGATGAAAAAATTGGGTGGCCCACTTCTGTCCACAAAATCGTGAAATCGCGAATTTCTCTTTTTTTACATAATGATGTAAAGCAATATGTTAAAATTTTTGATTTTTAATTTTATGCTTGCAAAACGTTAGGTAATTCCTTTCTCTACAAATAGACGCAAAAAATTTTTCAAATTATAATTATTTTAACATTCTACAGCCTAAAATCCAACGTGTGACCCACTTCTGTCGGTACTACCCTACTATCATCGTTAAAACAGTTATAAATTATTTAAAAATACGAAATATTTTCAATTTATGTATATATATATGGTGATCCAAAAGTATGGAAACTTGCAAATATCTTGAAAGTACGAATTTTCGTAAAATATGTTGAAGACAAAAGTTGTTCCAAACAAAAAGGTCTACATCTTTGAAACCAAAAATTTGGTCCCGGGACCCAATGTTGGGCCCTACAATAAAAAAAGTAGTTTTCTTAAATAAAACCACTAATATTCAATATCAAATGTTGTACATGTGGTATAAGTGCACAAAATATTGGGCCCAGTCCAAGATATTACACTGAAAAAAAAGTTCATTGAATCAAGTAAATGCATTTACTTGAGATACTTTACTTGAATCAAGCCAATATCATCTTAATGGAAGAAATTTATTTTCTTGTGCCAAGTAGTTATTAGCATTGGGCAATGTACTTGACATAAGAAAATGTGAGTTCCATACAAGCAAATAATGTTATTCTTTCAAAAAAAAATATTTTACTTGCACAAAGTCCCAAAAAGTATTGAGACAAGAATATTATGTTCTTATGTTAAGTAAAGTACGTGGAGTCGTTTAGTTTCTTGAATCAAATCACTTTTTTGTTCACTTTAAAAACAGTTTTTACTTAATCCAACACTCATAGTCTTGAGACAAGAAAATCAGAATATTAATATAACTAAATATTTGTTTAAATTATATAAAAAGTTATATTGCTTGAAATAAACACGAATTAAACTAAATATTCTATCTACTTAGTGTATTTCTATATAATCGTGTTTCAAAAACATGGAATTCCTTAAAAGAATATTATATTCTCTTAATTGAAATAATTAATTTTCTCAGTAGAATTAAGTCATACAATTGAATCAAATCAATTTTTTGTTTCCTTTAAAACATTTTTTACTTAATCCAACACTTATAGTTTTGAGCCAAGAAAATAAGAAGATTAATATAATTAAATATTTGTTTAAACCTGATAAAAAATTATATTGTTTGAAATAAACGTTAATTAAATTGAATTTTCATTGTTCTTAGTGCATTTCTATATTATCATGTTTCAAAAACATTGAATTTCTTGAATAAATATTATATTCCCTTAATTGAAATAATTTATTTTCTCGGTCGAATTAAGTGATGCAATCAAGCAATTTTCATGAAGCAATAATATAAACTTGTATACATATTATAAGTTTGATTCCTACATATAATTTCTTTTAAATATCGGTATTAGCAATTATTTAACTTATCCTTTTTCGAATATTATAATGTAATATTCTTGTCGTTTTTTCTTTTTTGTCTCTTTTCTTTTATTTATTATTCCTTTTTTCTTTAGTTTTAGGTCTTTATTATTATTTGATACTTGTTTTAGGGTTTTTGTATTCGAATAATTTTTGCCTAATTCCTACTTATAATGAAATATGTTCACGCATTTATTATATTAATATTGTTTACGAAATCCCGTTTAATTTATGATCCATTATAGTGTAATGACGAGACCCATCAACGATGGCATATCATTTGTTATATTATTATGTTTAAGGTCTTATAAGTGGATTTATACCTTACTCTTTGTAATCTAATATCTGTAAATTCAAAATAAAACTACTTTTTCAAACTAAAAACGACCGCGGCTACCGAACCTAATTAGATATTTTTATTTCATTTGTCTATATAAATTTTCACTATATTTTTTTAATTCTATTTTACAAAAAATACTTGAAATCATCCAGAAATTTCACTGTAAGTGTTTTATGTTGCCAAATAATGGATTTAAAACATTATATTGCATTGTTTAATTGTTTAAACAATTTATTGTTATTTATATTAACTTTTTTTGTAGTGCACCTAGAAAGATGCAGTTTTTTCCTAATTTTACAATTTATCAAATCGAATATAAAGATAGATTTGATGTAAAATTATTAATTCAACAATTGTTTAAACAATTTATTGTTGTTATTTATTAACTTTTTTGTAATGCACCTAGAAAGATGCAGCTTTTTCCTAATTTTACAATTTATCAAGTTTATATTATTCTACTTGATAATTACAAAATTAAGAAAAAACTGCATCTTTCTAGTTGTACTACAAAAAAAGTTTATTAATAACTATTATAACTTTATATTTTGTTTAATAAATTGCAAAAATAGGAAAAAATACTGCATTTTTCTAGGAACATTATGAAAAATGTTAATAAATAGAAACAATTAGTTGTTTAAACAATTTAACATAATAGTTGTTGCAAATTTAATTCTATAGGGTCAACCGGGGTAAATCCGAACGCTTTTAGTAAGTTTCAACAATAACATAAGTTTTTCCTTTAAAAAAAAAATACTTCCGGTATTCTGGTACATGAAGTTGTTACTTTACTTCCATAGAACAATTTTATGGGGTAGCAAAAATTTTTGATAAATTACAATCGCAGGAAACTTAACGTTCGTATTTACCTCGATACTTTTCAACTTTCCTAAAATACCGGGGTAAATACGAACGCCACTGTATTTCAGAAAAATCTTAGGGAAAATAAATTTAAAGTATTGCAATTGTTAAACTTATATAAAAACTCAAAAAAAATACGATAATAAACCTATTATGTAATAATGCATCATATATAAATACAAAAATCAAACAGGTTAAAAATTAAAATGCATTACACAATTAAAACCTTCAATAACTTTATCAAATCATAACGGATTTTTGCAAAACTTGGTACAGAAAGTATTTTGGAGTGATTGAATGTAAATACAAAAATAAAAGTCAAATTTTTTAAATTCAAAATGGCGGACTTTCCTAAAACTTATTTTTAAAAATGATCAAATTTGCTAACTCCAAATTCATAATCAGCGACCCTGAAACCCCCCGAGTAACAATTTTCGAGCGAATCCAATGAATTTTTTAATTCTCGTCCGCCATTTTGAATTTTGAAAAACTGACTTCAAATTGGTAATTAGCGACCCCAAAAACCGTAGAATACCAAATTTTATTAAGATCCTGAAAAACTTTTTTCAACAAACCATTTGGCAAAAAAATTGAAACACTCCTTCGAGAGAACAGAAATTAAGTTTCTGCTTATTAATTACTAACGAGGATACGTATAGAAAGAAAAACTTTTTTCTATGTACTTTTATAATGTTAAAATAATAGTGTAATGAAATAAAAACAATTTTGTGTGGCTCTGATGTAAAA